TCGTGTTTTCATTTAAATTAAAAGGGCTGCCGCTCTGAGCCGACAAACAGCTGATCAGCTGTTTGTCGGCTCAGCATGCTAGTCTGGACTCTCCCGCGCCGACCTGAAGGCCCTTTATCGACCTCCCCATTATGCCTCGTAGGATGAGGTTTACCGGGGAGGTCGATAAAGGGCTTTCATGTCGACAGGGGAGCGTCCAGACTGCCCTGATCTGCTGACAAACAGCTGATCGGCAGAGCGCGGCAGCCATTTAAATTTAAATGAAGCCGCGATTATTTAAATCACGGCTTCATTTCCCGTTTCCGAACAAACAAATCTACATGGCTCCATCGACGGAGCCATGTAGTCTAGACGTACCCTTACAGTGGTTAAGAAATGCTTGCAAAATGAACAGCATCACTGGGAACAGTACTGAATTTTCATCTTTCACCACCAGGTAATGGTGGAATTTCAGAGATACAGTACTGAATTAAAAAAACAACAACAGAAAAACAAACAAACAAACAAAAAATACTTTGTTGCACATACTAATGATATTGGTGGCCATCCTACTCAGCTGAAAGGAAACTAACATTGATAGCTGCAATTCAGATTAACATATTTTAAACCAATTGACATAAAACTTTAAGATTAGGGAAGGAAAGGAAAGATAAGAGAAGGGAAATTCAAGTGGATAAGGGAAGACAGAGAAGAAAGAAAGAGAAGTTTCTGACAAAAGAGGAATGAAGGTCCTCTTTTTTATATTGCCCTTAATATTTTAATGTGCATATTTTGAAATGCACCAACTTAAACACTAATTACTCCTAACTATTTATTTATTTAAAAACAAATGGAATGAAAAAGCCCAATAAGCCTCTGTTTTGGAGAAATATAGGATTTCAATGCCCAGTGTTGTCAATCCAGATTCTTTCACCTTCACAATAATTCACTTACAATTCTGTTAGTCTGACATATGGCTGAAAACGGAAATCAAGCCAGACCATTATTTAAAACAAATATGCATAATCATTATGACAGATGCCCTAAATTTCCTGTTTTATGATCATAACAATGTAGACAATTGAAAAGAACTTGTCCAGAGAAAGACAGATCTCATATAAAATATGGAAACCATTACTTTTCCACTCACAAACAGTTAATAGGTGGTTAGGATAATATCTTCAAGAATGCGGCTATTTTATACACACTACCTAAAATAATCAGTGTAAGAATTCACCAGGGATGTCAGTTTTAGATTCCTGTAATCCTATCTTGCCGTTTACAGGAAGACTGTAATTTTAAAGTGGCTGTGTTCAGCTCTTAACCATAGATCTCAAAACACTTTATAAAAGGGGAATAAATAATCATTATTTCCACTTCACAGAGAGGGAAACAGAGAACATGTATGAGCTAACTCTGGGAATTAGGTGGCTAAGTACTTCTGAAAACCCTACTAGGTTGCCTTGCTGCAATTTTAAGTGTTGAAATACCATTAAAAATTAGGGATGTTAGTGTGTACTCATTTACATGTTTAACAGATGAGCCCGGGTTCCTAATGGTTACTTACACCCCATCCCATTCCGATACAGAGGTAGCAAGGAGGGGGGGAAGGTGGAAACTGGTGCCTGTGAGGAGTCAGCTCCCCATGCGTGTCAGCTCTCATGAGCCACCTTTCCTCCCCCCCGACTGAGGTGGCAGTGCAGGAAGGCAGGAGTGGTGCTTGGGGGAGCTGGTTTAAAAGCTGGCTCCTCACGTGCACTGGCTCCCATGAAGCCACCTCCCTCCACCCTGTGCTGCCACCTCCGATAGACAGGCATCAGCACAGGAGGTAAGGGGCAGGCAGGAGCCAGGACACATGGGAAGCTGGCTTCCAAGCAGGCTCTCGCCAGCCACCTGCCCCCCACACTGCTGTCTCTCTTATCAGAGGCAGCAGCGGCGGGCGGGGGGAGGGGGGTGGGAGCCGGTGCTTGCGGGGAGCTGGCTTTCACTGCACATGAATGTGTCACCACTACAAATGTCAGTGTTTACACATTTGCACAAATACATACTTTTTTACCTCCCTATTATAAATCAGGCCCCAAGTGACTAAATCACTTTTGAAATGGAATTTTAGGTGTTTGTGAATATTTACCCTATATCTGTTGAGAGTCTAATTAAATAAAAAGTGAATAAAATATGAACGGCCTAACTTCTTCCAGTCAGGTGCCCCCCAAGGCTGATCTCAAGTGATTTTCCCTCCTGAAGATGCAGAGCACTGGTGCTCAGCAATTTAACTGAAGTTGTTGTTTTTACCTTGAAAGCTCTGTTGAGCACCTCTTCTCCTCCTCTGCTTCCCAACAGGTTAACGATCACTTGTCTTCCATATTGCTCCTTCAGAAGCATCATATGCCTGAAACAATAGCAGCAGCAGAACATTCTGGTTTAATAAAGCCTCTGGCAGAGCACATAGCTGCTTCCGCCTCTGTCTGCCAGGGTCTGTACCACATGTGTTCCCGAATTAGGGACACCCAGAGTACAGAGATTATAGTGTAACTGGATTGATAATTTACTGTTACTGAGTGTAAAGAATGGAGAGGTAGGATAAGGATACAGAACTTACATTGTTAATTTTCATACAGTCCTATGTATGTGGCCTTTTTATGGCCCTGAAAGCACAAAATACCTGTAGGAATCCCTTATCTTGCAGGACTGAATCTTTAGAGAGTGAGCTATAGTCTGGTGTTCTAGACCCACAATTAGCAAAGAATCATTGCCAGATAAATGTCATTAGCCACACTCATTAAATATTTCTACACAATTCCAATTTGTAAAACTATTCCTGTGACATTGCACTCCCATATTTTTTATGGAAATATGCTTCTGAATAAGAATATGCTTAACACAAATGTATTTTATGCAAAAATGTGGCATGTGACCTATCATTGAAAAGCTGGCAATCTACAGAATGTGTATATTCTATTTGCATTTATGAAATATAAATCTGTTTATATATCTAGATGTACTGAAGAAGGCCATTACTAGCACTCAAGAAACTTAATTGCTTTGTACTCATGACAATGATCTGTGAATAGACTGGCTTTTCCTGTAAGCCTGGACTATGGTTGGTCCTTCCAAGATGTGGCCAGGTCACCTGATGCTGGAACCCATTTTGGATATGGTACTTTTCCATGGGAGTGTGAAAGGGTTGGAAGTGGACATAAAGGATTCCTTCCTTGGCCAAAATCTCTCTATATTATAGGCAGGAAACCAAACAATAGGGAAGATTCCAGATGCCAAGACATCCCCTGGTTACCACTCAGATATCTGCTAGAAACAGCTAAGACTTAACAGTGAGAAGGATCAGGCCCAACCTTGTGAGAAAAGATGATTAGAACTGCTGCTAGGGTAAGAAATTGGATGTTGCAAGTTTCTTTGATTATGAAGCTTAGCTGGCATGTTTTGTTTTATTTAGCTTAGTAACTTACTTTGATCTGTTTGTTATCACTTGCAACCACTTAAATTCTACTTTTTACAACTTTTGTCCATCATTAAACACAATGTTAATAACTGTATGGGGGGGGGGGAGCAAAGCTGTGCATGTGACTCTTTCATTGACAAAGGGAACGAAAAACTGATGGTCTTTCTCTGTATAAAGCTTTTATGTAGAATAAGCTGCGATTCTGATCCCATTGGGACTGTGCACCTGGGTGCTGAGTCAGGTTTCTGCGACTGAGCCTTTCTAGAGCTCAGCTACTCTCAGTGTCTGTGTTACTCTGTTGTGGGCTGTAATCCCAACTCTGTATCTTTTCTGGGGGAGGCCAGAGGTTCTGGCTCCGCAGGACAGGGTGGTGGGGTGTCCCAGAGAGCAGGTAAGTGGACCCTGAGGTATGATAAGCCCATCAGGTGACAGTCTGAAGGGGTGACTGAACCCATCACAATTCACATTCCACGTGTATTATTTTAGTAGGCAGCTTGGCAGGTAAGAGTCAGATTTTAAGTGGATGCATGAACATAAATTCTTCCCTCTCCGTGTGTGCATGCATGCGTGCGTGTCTATTATAGGAGTCACACAAGCTCATCATGAGTCTTGAAGGGTCCAAAAGTAAGAAATCCTGCAGCAGTTAGTGAGCTACCAAAGCACTGAAGCAAAGGCCAGGTATTTAAGGAAAGCTAAGAACAATAACAAAGTTTGCTTGTGCTGCCAGTGTTTCCATGGCCTGGTGATACTGTTGTTAAAAGGCTACTGTCTCCATAACTGGCGAGTAGAAGTCTTAGGCTGCAATTGTGAGTTCCATTAAAAAGAAATATTGTGCTCTGTAAAAGAAAAAAAGAAAAAAAGAAAAGAAAAGAGAAGGCTTTCCTGCAAGAAAAACAGCCACACATCTCCCTGGTGCTATCTTACAACTCCAATCCTGCATTTGGATCTGTGCAGGTAGAATCTTGCTCCACACAAACAGCTCCTTTGAATTCAGTGGGTCTCAGCACAGCTCCAATTGTAACATTAGAGCATATCTATGAACTAAGAACGTGCCTCTGCATTTTTTCCACTTCAAATTAGTGATAAACGGCATCAAAATGCCCCTAATGGTAACCTGATAATTATTCCAACATGCCCTTAAGTCCACTTAAAAAAAAAAAAGAATGTAAGATGTTTTAAAAACAAACAAATGAACAGGAGAATCCAAATTCTTTCATACAAGTGCTGCCTTGGGATTGATCAGAAACAGATGCTAAAACAGGAAATTTGCATTCATTGTTCCCAATGTCACTTCAAAATGTCAGGCTATTGGGTGTGAAAAATTAACAGACTGTGGCTATGCCAAAACACAAGAAAAGGCTGCAGCTTTACGGGCTTCCATAAATTTTTCAGTATGAATGTTCAGTTGCCACTTACCAGAAACACTCAACACAATCCTTTAAACATTTAGTTTGGGCTGGACTAAGATGGCAACTATGCTGTGATATACACAAGAAAGTGAAGGGCTCGATCCAAGCCATTCTCTCACTTCACTTTACCATGAGGAAGCCACTCAGGGGTATGTCTAAAATGTAGTCAGGAGCAAGCTCTCCACTCCAGATAGACAGACTTGTACTAGCTAAGCTTGAACTAGTGTGCTAAAGACAGCAGTGGGGACAGTGTGGCTCGGGTGGCATCTCAAGCTCTCAAGCCCAACTGATCCCTTGGACCTAGGCTCAGATTGCTAGCCGGAGTTTATGCTGAAGCCACAAAAATCTACACACTGCTATTTTTACTTGTTGCTTGAGCCCCACTAGCCCGAGATGGTGTACCTCACTTCTTAGGACAGAAAAAGATGTTTTGGCCTTGGAAAGGGTTCAGAAAAGGGCAACTAAAATGATTAGGGGTTTGGAACGGGTCCCATATGAGGACAGGTTAAAGAGACTGGGACTTTTCAGTTTAGAAAAGAGGAGACTGAGGGGGGATATGATAGAGGTATATAAAATCATGAGTGGTGTGGAGAGGGCCGATAAAGAAAAGTTATTTATTAGTTCCCTAAATAGATGAACTAGAGGACACCAAATGAAATTAATGGGTAGCAGGTTTAAAACTAATAAAAGAAAGTTCTTCTTCACACAGCGTGTAGTCAACCTGTGGAACTCCTTGCCAGAGGAGGCCGTGAAGGCTAGGACTAGAATAGAGTTTAAAGAGAAGCTGGATAAATTCATGGAGGTTAGGTCCATAAAAGGCTATTAGCCAGGGGATAAAATGGTGTCCTTGGCCTCTGTTGGTCAGAGGCTGGAGAGGGATGGAAGGAGACAAATCGCTTGATCATTGTCTTCGGTCCACCCTCTCTGGGGCACCTAGTGCTGGCCACTGTCGGTAGACAGGATACTGGGCTAGATGGACCTTTGGTCTGAACCAGTCTGGCCGTTCTTATGTAAATTAGAATAATGGAACTTTAATCCCTGACTGGGGATTACAAAGTGATCAATATTAATAATCTCCACTAAAAGCTGCAATAAGTGAAGCCAAGAAAACACCAAGGCCTAACTTGAATATAAATTTTCATTTGCCAGGCAAAAATCACATGACAAAGGCAGGCTAAGGTGCGGTAATTCATCTTAGGCCAAATCCTACATTCCTTTCCCAAAGCTCCTACTCAAGACAACATGAATTTGCTTGTAAAAGGCTGCAGGCTAAAGGGTTTTGTCCCACTTGAGGATCATGTGCTTAGAGGACCGATATAAATCTATAGATTTTGGATAGCTTCCAAAGAGTTGCAGAATCTTATGGAGCTAGAGTCATTCCTCTGCGTCAGAGCAGAAGAATGTCACTAGGAGAGCATCTCACTGTGGAGGCAGAATAGGCTACTAATTTTACTCTGGACCAACCTCCAGTCAGAGAAAAAACAGGGAGAAAAATAACTTGGAATGCAAAGGGGTTTTCATTTAGTTTTTATTTGGTTGGGACATAAGTGGAAGGAAGGGCACAGACAGAGTGTTTCCAAATGTAAATATATAGTTACATGGCACTTTTTTGCACAGTACTCTCAACTCCTTTAGAAATTAGCTGAGATCATTTTGGTTCAATTTCCACCAAAACTAGAAAGGAAAAAGGACGAGAGCTATACTGTAGGGAATAATCATGAAATAGCAAGGGAATAATGGACCATATAATCTAACAAGTGCTCTCCTCCTCTAACAGCTCTGGTTCACTGGAACAAAGTACAGCTGTGGAATTTTGGTTAGATGCTTAGCTGCTGTGTTACTGCCAGAGTTTAATGAAACCTACTTGTCAAAAGCAGGGGCATTAGCTTCCAGGCCTCGGTTAAGTCTCAGATGATGGGAACCAACCTAAAAAATATTAGAAGAAATAATATGAAGTTATTATCTAAGCTGCTGACATCTTGAATAACTAGATGTCTATTTTCCTCAAGGGAAATATGTTTATTACCACTGAACAAATTACAAACACCTCCCCATAATACATTTAGTACAAAATCTACAGCTTTTATTAGAAAGCATTTACAATTACAATGAAAAACATGACTGATTACCATTTGTTAATGGGATACCTACGCCCTTATTTACTGCTAAACAACTCCCCTATCCTGGCCAATACTCAAGCAAAAATCTCTCACTACGCAACAGGACTGTGTTCTGTGCCCAACTTTCCTTACCTCTATCAATAACTGAGGCACTGCATATCTGCCAGTTCCATGGAAAGAGACACTGTAGCCTGACTAGTTTGATCTCTTCTTTTTTAGATTAATTGGATAATACATTCATAGTACTTTATATTTATACCGCACTGAGGGCTAAATCCTGGTTCACTGAAGTCAGTGGGCGTTTTCACACTGACATTAATAGCAGTAGGCTCAAATTTTTGGTAAATGCTAACTACTGGCATTTTTATTCAGTGCAGCTGAATATATATTGTATTTTTTCCCAATTAATAGCTAAATCCTCTAAAAAGACCCACCTGGAATTTAAAAAAATCTTCTTTGGTTTCCTGTTTGTCAGCATTTCGTCTGTATTTTCTTTCTATATAAGGTTAGACTGTGTGACCCTCTCTCACTTTGATGCCAGCATATGTGCATAAGGAGTGAATGAGTGCTCTGATAAGTAAGTGCTCATGAATGCGAGTAAAGCTTGCACAATCTATTGCTGGATACACACAAATGTGTGGCTTTTCCTTCTGAGAGAGGAGAAAATTCTGTCCAAGTCAAAAAGGCTAAATTCAGGGATACTCTCCAGGCTTGAAAATATACAAAGCAATATAGGACTTCCATAATTCATACCCAAGGCAAACCTGAGGCATTTAATCAATACTGAAAAAGGAAGCTTATGCTTATTACCAAAGTCACTACACACTGTACAGAATATAGTGCATGCATATATATATTTATCTTTCTGTGTGTGTACCTATGTACATTCTGAAATTGTTTCTTCCCCTATTCTGAGAATTGTGAAAATACCAGGCTGCCTCTTGCCTGAGTTTTTGAATGATCTCTCACTGAAGGTATAACCAGAATAAATATCTGGGTGGAAATGGGTTTAAAAACAAAAGAGTTGCTTGAGGAAGCAGACCATGTGGAAAATGTATCATATGATTAGACTCGTATAGCTACAATCCATGGCCAAGCTCAGTGTGACCAGTGTGTGTCTGGCATGCCAACTACAAGTAGGTTCTAGCCCAAAATATCAAAAGGATATCAACGTTATTTGTATGGAGGTGTTTTGTTTCAGTTTATTCTGCATTGTATTTAGATGACATTCATCTCTTGTACAACGCTGATGCTCAGTGCTGGATGTTAGAATTTTGGAAATGAGATTTTGAAAATTATAGGGGATGTGTTTATAGCATCTAACTGTGCATGACTCTTAGGCTGCTGAGAGCACTGCCTGTCAAGCTGATCAATGTGGTCTCAGTGTCTCCTTGCACTCCTCCAATGGTCCTTTCTGTAGCCATCTCTTGTGTTAGACTATAAGCTCCTTGGGGCCAGGGACTGTCATTTTGTTCTGTACATAGTGCCTAGCACAGTGAGGTGCTGGTTCAGGGCTGGAGCTCCTAGGTGCTATGATAATACAAATAATAATTTAAAAAAAACCCACACAATTTTGAACTTTCAAATTTTGGTTATGTAAATTATTGGGCTTGATGAAGGAAATACTACACAAAATTCTCTGGTCTGTGGCATGCTGGTGGTTAGACTAGATAATCATTGTTGTTCCTTCTGACCTTAGCACTGATGAAATCTACCAAGTATACTCACTTACCAATTGTATTTATTTTAAAATCTTAGAGCTCTTGCACTAGAGCCCCCTCCATATACTATGGAGGACAAAGATACCGGTATTTCAGACAGACAGGTAATTCTGGGAAAAGTAAAAAACATTACAAAGAAACATCTGTGTAAATAAATTAACTGTTCTCGGGCATTATCTGAGCACTTAAAATATTAATCGTCAACATCTAATCTCTGGATGTTTGCCTATTCCTTTTAAAAATAGCCTAACTTTCCCACAAATAAAAACTGAGTCAAAAGAGTTTAGTATTTTACAAGGCAAATCTCCTCGTGAATAAAACACATTAATAAACAAATCCTAAGCAACTGTTAATAGCATTAGTAACAGGTCACTTGATTCTTCATTTTATTTACCTGAAGCCCTGGTTGCTCCCAAAACAGTGGAACGGAGCCTCTGATCTGAACAAAGGAAGAGACGTCATCATCCAAATAAATCGTCTGTGGTA